TATGCCAGTACTACAACATGTTGTAGGTCTGTAGTTAAGTGTTGAAATCAAGAAGTGTGAGTCTTCCAAATTTGTTCTATTTTCAAGATTGTTTTGTCTATTCTTGGTCACTTGCTGTGCAGAAAAGAGTTAACATAACAAGCATAAGGGCTTATGCTTAGAAAGGCCTTCCTGTAAGGTTGGCTTTTAACTGGAAATCTGATTTCCAGTAAGAGTGGCCCACTTTGCCTAAAGTATTTATATGAGCAATGTGTCTAAGTGACAGTAGGTTTATATGATACCTGCTTTCCTTCGGGAGTCTGAAGTTTTGGCCCATGCTAGTCAGAGGTGCCTACATACCACATAGAGTCCCGGAGTAAAAACCTCGGGCACTGAATTCCTAAGGAGCTTCCCTGTGGACATTTCATGTGTGTGGTCACAACTCATAGCTGGAGGAGTTGAGCACATCCTAAGTGACTCTACTGGGTGAAGACCCTTGGAAGCTGGCACCTTGTTTTCTGCAGACTTCACCCTGTGCACCTTTTTCCTTTGCCAATTTATTCTGTATCCTTTCATTGGGATAAATTGTAGCCATGAGTACAACTCTGTACAGAGTCCTGTGAATCCTCCTATTGAATCATCAAACCTGAGGGCAGCCTTGGGTGTCCACAACACATTTGTTGATGTTAACATATTAATTTTAAGATTAGCTTGCCAATATTATAAAAAAGCCTAGGATTTTGATAAGGATTGCACTGAATCTATCAATTCAGGGTAGATATTGCAAACAACAGTTTTCTTTACATGAAAATACAAGTGATTTTTCTGTATTGATTTTGTATTCTGAACCTTGCTGAACTCACTTTTTAGCTCTAATATAGTGTGTGTGTGTGTGTGTGTGTGTGTGTATTCTTCAGGGTTGTTTATATATGATTTCTATAGGGCTTTCCCAGTGGCTAGAATCTGCCTGCAATGTAGGACACCCAGGTTCGATTCCTGGATCAGAAAGATCCCCTGGAGAAGGGAATGGCTACCTGCTCCAGTATTCTTGTTTGGAAAAATCCATAGACAGAGGAGTCTGGTGGGCTACGTTCCATGGGGTCACAAAGAGTTGGACACGACTGAGTGATTAACACTTCATCTAATATTACTTTTATATATAACATCATGCTTTCTGCAAGTTGAGATAGTTTTGTCTCTTCCAATCTGGATAACTTCCCTTTCTTTCTTCTTCCTTCCCATCGTTTTTCTTTCCTGTCCTTTTCTTTCTTCCTCCCTCCCACTTCCTCTCCTTTTTTTGCTTCATTTCTTTTTTCCTAACTGCACTGGTTACAATTTCCAATACAAAATTGTTCAGAAGTAGAAACTGCAAACATCTTTGTCTTGTTCCTGATCTTAAGCACAAACTATTCAGCCTTTCAACATTAAATGTTAAGTTACCTGTAGGTTTTTTTTTAGATACTTGTTGTTGGTTTTGCTTTTTAATTTAAAATGAGGAATTTCTTTTCTATGTCTAGTGCCTTTCATGTTTTTATTATGAAAAGGTACTGGATTTTGTTCATTTTTTCTGCATCTATTGAGTTCATCATGTGTTTCTGTTTTATTTTGTTATTATGGTATATGACATTGATTGACTTTCATATATTGACTTTCATATCTTGAACCAATCTTGTGTACTGTGAAGAATCTTTTGTCTATATTCTTCTGTCTATATTCTTGAGATGTTGAATAGTTTTCTTGTGCTATCTGTGTGGTTTTGATACCGGAGTAATACTGGTCTCATAAAATATTCCTTCTTCAAATTTTTGGAAAAATTTGTGAAGGATTGTTATTCCTTCTTTTTTGGTAAAATTCACTAGATTATCTTTTAAAGATGTTAAAAATGAGAAATACCTTTTATATTTAGCTACATATTTACCTTTTTCTTTATTCTTCATCCCTTTGTGTAGGTCATTATCCCACCTGGTATCAGGTTTCTTTTGGATAAAAAGCTTACCTTTTTTTTTGTTAAAGAAGAAATCGGAATTTTATTTATTTACTTTTGGCTTCATCATGTAGCATGTGGGATATTAGTTCTCAACCAGGGATCAAACCCATGCCCCCTGCAGTGGAAGTGCAGAGTCTTACCACTGGACTACTAGGGAAGTTCCTGAAAAGCTTACTTTAATATTTCAGTTTTGCTTATGATAAAGTCTTTCAGCTTTTGTCTGAATTTTTAGTTTTAGCATTTTTAGGGCATAACACCATTGACCTCTGGCTTGCAAGCTTCTGACAAAATTCTGCTGTCATTCTTATTTCTCAAATTTAATGTCTTTTTGTGTATGATGGTTTTAAGATTTTTTTTCTTTATTATGATTTTTCAGCAATTTGATCATGATCTAACTTGGTGTTAATAATCTTCAGATTATTCTCTTTATGGTTCATTGACCTTTCTGGGTCTGTGGGCTCATAGTTTAATGAAATTTGGAAAAATTTCCAGCTATTATTTCTTCAAAAATAGTTTCCATTCTCCCCTCTCCTCTCCTTCTGAACTCCAGGTACACATACATTAGGCCACTTGATATATTTCCACAGATATCTGATTCTGTTAGTTTTTTTCCTCCACTTTTTCTCTCTCTTTTTCATTTTTAATAGTTTCTATTGCTATGCCTTTGTGTTCACTGATCTTCTGGTATCTAATCTGCTATTTTTTTTAAGAAAAATTTATTTATTTGGCTATGCCAGATCTTAGCTGCGGTACTCAGGATCTTCAGGTTGTGGCACATGGGTCTAATTCCCTGATCCAGGCCCCCTGTGTTGGCAGATAGAGTTTTAGTCACTGCACCACCAGGGAAGCCCCTAATCTGCGATTAGGCAGTGAATTTTTTTTCATATTCTTTTCCATTATGGTTTATCACAGGATACTGAATGTAGTTCCCTGTGCTATATAGTAGGACCTTGTTTATCCATTCTGTATATAATAGTTTGCATTTGCTAATCCCACACTCCACACCCCTTTTCCCCCCAGTAACTACAAGTCTGTTCTCTGTGTTCGTGAGTCTGTTTCTCTTTTGTAGATAAGTTCATTTGTGTCAGATTTTAAATTTCACATATAAGTGATATCATATGGTAGTTGTCTTTTCTTTCTGACTTATTTGCTTAGTATGATAATCTCTAGGTCCATCCATGTTGCTGAAGATGGCATTATCTCATTCTTTTTTACGGATGAGGATATTGTGTGTGTGTATATATACATCTCCTTCACTCATTCATCTGTCAGTGGACACTTAGGTTGTCTCCATGTCTTGGCTATTGTGAGTACTGCTACTATGAACACAGTGTGCATGTATCTTTTCAGATTAAAGTTTAGTCCACATATACGCCCAGGAGTAGGATTTCTAGATCATATAGCAACTCTTTTTAGTTTCTAAAGAACCTCCATACTGTTTTCCATAGTGACTGCACCAGTTTACAATCCCACCAGCAATGTATGGGGGGTCTCTTTTCTCCACACCCTCACCAGCATTTGTTATTTGTAGACTTTTTAGTGATGGTCATTCTGACTAGTGTGAGGTGGTACCTCATTGTAATTTTAATTTGCATTTCTTTAATAATTACCAATGTCGAACATCTTTTCATGTAACTTAGATAGTGAATTTTTTATTTCATATATTTTATTTTTCCTCTCTATAAGTTCCATTTAGGTCTTTTTTATATCTTTTTTTTTCCATCACATTCATGTTTTTCCTTTTCATCTTTGAACATTTATAAAAGCTGTCTTAAAGTCTTTGTCCACTTTTTTCCTCATCTGTATTGGGTCTTTTTCTATTGACTGACTTATCTCCTGGGTGTAGGTCATATTTTTTGCTTCTTTGTATGTCTAGTAAATTTTTATTGGATGCTTAATATTTTAAATTTTACACTTCCTAAGTTGCTTGTGTCACATCTGACTCTTTATGACCCTATGGACTGTAGCCTGCCAGGCTCCTCTGTCCATGGGGATTCTCCAGGCAATACTGGAGTGGGTTGCCATTTCCTCCTCCAGGGGATCTTCCCAGGGATCAAACCCGCATATCTTATGTATCCTGCATTGCCAGGTAGATTATTTACCACTAGTGCCACATGGGAAGCCCAGATTTTACACAAGTATTGATAAATTTTAGATCTTGTTATTTTCCTTTAAAAAGGAACTTTTTAAAAAAGGTATTGCAACTTTTTTTGGAAGGCCGTTATTTTTGGATATTTGATCATTTTAAGGTTTATTTTTAAGCTTTTTAAGGGTGCGTCTAAAGAAGCCTTTATTCTAGAACTAAGTTCATCCTACTTACTAATGTGTGGTATCTTGTTCCTTACTGAATGCCCTTTTTAATCAATCAGGTCTCCACTCTGGCTGGAGGAAATGTAAATTACTTCTGTTCCATTGTGAGCTCTAGGAAATGTTCATCTTATAGTTCCATAGCTATTATGCTTTCATGGGAAGTTATTCTTTCCTAGCTTCATGGGGTTTCTTATCATATGTGCCCAGATTATTATCAGACTCAAGGGGATCCCATTCAGACTTCTGGAGTTCTTTGCTTTTGTTTGCATAGTACTGTTCTTTCAAGAACTCTGTCTTGGCCTCCCTGAGCCAAGATTTCTGGTTTCTCAACTAGTGGGATCATCAGACCCTTCATGGTCTGCAGCCTGGTTACGGCTTCTAGGCAGTAAGCTTGGGAACTCACAGGGTTTCACTCATGTGTTTCCCTTTGTTCAGTGATCACAGTCCTGCAAATGCATGCGGACCAGTGTCTGAAAATAGTGGCTCATACATTTTTTTCCAGGTTTTTAGTTGCTTACAGTAGAATATTCTGGACTGTCTTCCTCCTGCATAGTCAGAAGCTCACATCTCCACTGAGCCTGTGTTTAATCTGATGAGATTCTGCTGCTCTCTGTGCTTCCACCTGCAAGCTGGGCTGTCCCAAGAGGTTGCACACATGTTAATATGAACTCTGAGGCAGACTTCCCCTCTTCAGTCCCTGCCCTTTTCCCCTTGTCTTTTGCAGAAAAAGTGTGAGCGTTATTGGGCTCTACAACAGGAACCACTGCAGATTGGGCCTTTCTGCATCACTCTGGTGAGTTGGGGCAGAGGTGGGAACAGGACTTTATTGGAGTCTTGGATTTTGTCTTTCACAGAAGATTCTGAGTGAAAAGCTTTTGGGCTGGCCTTGAAAGGATGAACAATTTTCCCACAGTCCCCCTCACACTGCAGGGAGCTCTCTGGTATTAGCATGCAAATAGTCAGAACTCATTATATATTGATTTTGCATTTTAACTACTATCATGGTTATCTCTCTAAATATAAATGTACCTGGTTAGGGTCTTTAAATTCTTATTTCCCTTACCATTTCAAAAGAACTCAGAAAAATCTCTCATAGGTTATAAAAACAATTGGTACTGAAAAATACAAGCAAACTTTTGTTTTAAAACAAAAGACATTTCTTTCTTTCACTGTAAATGAGCTTGTTGGAACTAGCTCACAGTTTCTCTTTCTCCCTTATGTAAAATGTTTCCTTCAACAGAAGTCATGGGGGATATTTGGACTAAATGAATTTTTAGAAATAGGTGGTTTTTTTTTTTTTTTGGTGAGGGGAGGTGGGGCGGCGGGGAGGACTGTGTTGCATGACTTGCAGGATCTCAGTTCCCTGACCAGGGACTGAACCAGGCCATGGCAGTAAAAGCCCAGAATCCTAACTGCTAGGCCACCAGGGAACTCCTTTTTTAAAATTTTTAATCAGAAATGCTGTTTCCTGAAAATGTGTCTTTTGGCACCTGTGATCTTTTTTCTCTGCCCTCTTCCCACATGCCCCATATCCACAGACAAGGGAGATGTGGCTGAACCCAGACATCACACTCAGGACCCTGCAGGTCACCTTCCAGAAGGTACTGAAAGGGGAGGGGGGGACTCCTGCATGGTGAGAGCTTCCTGTCTCCCCTTTCCTATCTGTAAAATGGGCATTAACAACAGTGTCCTTCTCTTTAGTTAGCATCTGTTTCATTTAAATGGAAGGTGTGGAGAAGAGGGCTGACATGAAAGAGTTGCTCAATATATGCTTTTCTTTCTTTTTTTTATTCTTTGCCTCTTATTTTCTGTGTTTCAGGAATCCCGCTCAGTGTCCCAGCTGCAGTATATGTCCTGGCCAGACAGAGGGGTCCCCAGCAATCCTGACCACGTGCTCGCTATGGTTGAGGAAGCTCGGCACCTCCAGGGATCTGGTCCCAACCCCCTCTGTATCCACTGCAGGTTTAATAAATGGGCTTTATGGGGATCTGGTGAGACAGAGGGGATGGTAACTGGGGAGGGAGGCAGGGAAGAATAGTGCAGGACTTGAAGCCAGTCTTGCAGTTTCTTGAATGCCTATTTTGAGAAACTTGAGGCCACACTTGCTAAAGTCGCAACTTAAATTGTCAGTATTTATTCAGCACAGACTGCTGGGGAATAAGCACACAGCTGATGCTAAACAAATATCAGCAATTAAAAAGTTTTTCCTTTCAAATTATAACCTGGATACTGGGGACCAAAAAGTGCTGCAGGGGCCCCTCCATTAATTAAGCCCTTCACCCCCACCCCAAATGTCCCCTTTAAAATGGGCTGCAGGAAGGCCCTATTGAGCTCACTCTGGTTCTTCCTTGTCAGTGCTGGCTGCGGGCGAACAGGTGTCCTGTGCACTGTGGATTATGTGAGACAGTTGCTTCTGACCCAGGTATGAAGAGGGCATGCACGTGAAGTGTGCATCTTGTGCCCACGAGGTCCTTCTCATGTGCCTGCTCTCTGCCCTAGATGATCCCACCTAACTTCAGCCTCTTCAGTGTGGTCCTGGAGATTCGGAAGCAGCGGCCTATGGCCATACAGACAGAGGTGTGAGCAGGGTCTCCCCATTCCAAGGACACATCCCTCCTGCTCTTGTCTTCCCTTCTCAATGACCTGTCTTCCCCCCTACCCACTACCCCAGGAGCAGTACAGGTTCCTGTACCACACAGTGGCTCAGATGTTTCTCTCAGCACTACAGAATGCCAGCCGTCATTACCAGAATCTCAAGGAGGTACCAAGGCCCCCTTCCAGCCCTCAGAGACCAGGACCCAGAGCAGAGCTCCACGGCCACCACTATGGCAGCATCCAGCCCTTAGACTCCTTCCAGTAGCAGGGACTGACTCTGATATGTCCCTTTGTCATCCTCCTCGCTTCCTTATCAGAGTGTCTCCTCTTAAGCTCCCCCCACAGAGACCACAGTGATCTCCACTAGGAGCCTGGACAGTGTCCTCTGAAGCCTCATGCCCTTCCCCTCCTGTCTTTCCCCCAGAATCGTGTCCCACTCTACGATGACGCCCTCTCCCTCTGGACTTCCCAGACCCTGAATGCCATCGCCCGCCCATCCAGCGGAGTCCTCAGGTACCTAGCCCCATTCCTGGAGTCTTCCCTTTCCAGTTTCTTCTTCTTGGAGGCTAGCCCTTTCCTCACCCTTGAAACACTGGCGCCATCCTTGTCGTTCAGTTCACCAAATATTCACCAGCCCTGTCTTTGAACTGAGCTCTGGGAACCTTTCCGAAGATGATTCTTTAATACCGAGATCACACTGCGTCTGCCCCTACCCCTACATTCCCCCAAGTCATTAATTCAGCAGATATTTCTTGATGCTGCCCAACTGTCAGGCCTCATATCTGGTGCGGCAGACTTCAGCCCTTGGTCTGAGACCAGCTCTCCATTTTGAGACTTTCCCTTCCTTCCCTTTAGATGTCACTTCCTCATTCATTCATTCAATAAACAACTACACAGAAATGACCACTCCTCAATAACACCTCGCCCCATGCACCTGCCAACTGCGCCCTTCCTTCCTTCATCCGCCCAACCTGCTGGGCCCATAGGGACACACAAACGAGACCCCTTCCCCAGAAAGCAGCCGCCTCCGTCTCAGGGCTCCTTCACTGCGTGCCGCCTCGGGCGGGAAGGAAGCCGGTGGTTCGCTCGCCCAGTGAGCTGCCCCCTCCCTCCCCCGCCCGGGAGCTGCGCTTTCACTTCCTCCCCGCCCTCCGCACCCGCAGGAGCATCTCGGTGCCCGGGCCCCCGGCCCTCTCCATGGCCGACACTTACGCGGTGGTGCAGAAGCGTGCGGCCCCCGTGGGCACCGGGGCAGGCGCGGGCGCGCGGGCGCGCGGCACGGACGACACGCCACTCTACAGCCAGGTGACGCCGCGCGCCTGGCGGAACCAGGCGCCATCCGAGGACGCGCGCGGCGCGCAGCCGGGCCGCGGTAAGTCTAGGAGGCCGGCGGGGCGGGGGGCGGAGCTGGGTTGGATCGTCCGCCACCTGTTCCTCCAGATCCTCTCTGGCTAGGTTCTGGAGAGCCTGGAGGCCGCGCTGACGTCCCCTCCCCCCAGCTCGAGTCTGGCCAGCACGCCCTGGAAGGCTGAGGTTCGGGCTTCCCCGGCCATGCCTCTAGGACTGTTGCCTGTCCTCAGGTCACGCCCGGAAGCGTCTCGGGCCACGCTGTGGTCTCTGGCCCCGCCGCAGTCTCTGACCAGGTCACCTGGTCTGGGCAGAGGGCTCCGTCTTGCTTAAGCCCCTGGCCACGCCCCTGCCCGCTGGGCCAGGACCCGCAGGCCACAGCCCAACTTCTTGGGCAGGGAGGAGGCCCGGGTTTGAAGGGCCGTCTGAGTTGACCTGTTGGGGTGGTTTTCTGCCCGCAGTTCCTGTTGACGAAGGCCTGGCTGGGCCTGGCGCCTATGAGGACGTGGCGGATGGAGCTCAGAGTGGTGGGCTAGGTAAGTCAGATAACCTGGGTTCCTGGGGCCGTTTGCAGTTGCGACGGGGGTGGGGCAGGGATGGTGGCAGGGGACTCACATCCTCAGAGCCCTGTGGATGTGGCTGCAGCAAACCAGGAGAACCTGGAGGCCTGAGAATGATTTTCCACCGGTTGCCTTTCTATCCACACCTCAGCTTCTCTTATGAGCCTTATGGTGCCCTTCCTCTTCCAGGCTTTAACCTGCGCATTGGGAGGCCTAAAGGACCGCGAGATCCGCCTGCTGAGTGGACCCGGGTGTGAGCGCTGCACCCCTGCCTGTCTGTTGCTCCACATGGGTGCCTGGACTGCTGAGGGTCATGCTCTGCTTTGTGAAGTGTTGGGAATGGGGGTGCTGGGCTGAATCAAAATAAATGTTTCTTAGCGTGGAAGATGTGGGGCTTTGCCTTAGTGGTTATAGCATTCAAGGCACTGAAACCATGTTCAAGTCCCTGTGTCCTTATCTTTTGAAGTAAAATGCTGACTCAAGAGTTAATGATTTGGAAATGTGAAGATGTAGAAACAAAGAATAGTTGTTGAGCTAGGGAACTGGTAACAATTTAGACTATAATTCTACCACATGGTAGAATCACTGAACTCCCTCCTAAGTTGTTTTTACAGGAAGCAGATCCCCACAAGATAAAAAGTGCTGACAACAAAAACATAGACCCTATAGACTGGTTGAACCAGAAGGTGAAGATGCTGAAACTTCACCTTGATGCCAACCACTCCAAGGGCCGTCCACGAGCTCAGTCCACGATCCATCGCCCCCTGCTCCTTGAACACTATAACACTCCTCACCACCCCCTCTAGGGTGGGCCACATGGTGTTCAAGGCATTAGCCCACTGTGGCCCCCTTTGCCTGGCAATACAATAAAAGCTACTCTTTTCTACTTCACCCAAAACTGTCTCTGCATTTCTGTTTGGCACCAGTAAACAGAGGCTGAGTTTTAGCAACACCATGAGACTTGGGGAGGTAGTGGGGTGATGATGGCTAGTGAGGTTTCACTGAGCATACTCAAGAATAAACTCAAACCCCGTTGAGGGTCGGGTCCCCGTTGTGAAGGGGATGATGGATAGATAGACTTCTGGAGACCACTTGAAAGATTGGTTCATTTCAGTATCTGAGACTCCCTCACTCAGACATTCAGCTTACAACACAAAGAGATGGATGGACCCTCACCCCCCACTACCATTCAGACAGATAGAAGCCAGGTGTGACAACAGCCAAGCAGACTGATTTCAGACAGACAGGTAAGGAGATCCCCAGATGGGTAAGCAGACAGAATTCCAATTGGGACAGGCAGATAGCCATTCCCCTAGACAGCCAGAGCTTCAGAGGGACAGTCCATTCCCTGGGTAGACCTCCAGTCAGGGAGAGTGACACACCAGCAGCCTAACAGACCACCCCCTGCAAAAGACATCAGCAAAAAGACAGACCCTTTCCTCCGGCTAGGTTGCTAGATAGATGCCAGCCAGACAGACCCTTGGCTGGACAGACTCCCAGACAGCCATGAACAGATCCCCAGCTGAATAGACACAGATGTCCTCTGAGTTAGACAGGCCTAATCACACGGACTCCCAGGTAGCCAAATGTACTCCAGTCAGGCCGACACCGGCCACACAGACCTTTGATTGTACAGACACTTCACCTAGCCAGGCAGACTTCCAACTAGGCAGAGAAGTGGACAGACTACCAACTCACCAACTATACAGAATCCATATTTTGGCAGACACATTGATATATCTCCTGCTGGGAAGACAGCCAGGTGGACTCCCAGGTGGTCAGCTGGTCAGATAAGCAGATGGACTCTCAGAAAAAGTCACATGAGTTAGATGGACACCCCCCCTGCACCCCCACTATACAGACCATCTGCCAGTGGGACATATGCTGCAAATCCTTCAGGTAAATGGACTCCCTGCTAGCCAGATGGGCTCCTAGCTCTCAGATACGTAGGATCCCATTGGTTGGATGGACCCCTAGTTGGACAGATAAGATTCTCAGCCACAGTGAGACACCATCCTCAACCAGAGAAATAGATGGATCCCAAAGCAACTGGCCAGCTATATCCCAAGTTAGGTGAAGAGACACCCAGAACCACATGCACAGGTAGACTCCCATCTGGACAGATGAAAGGACTCCCAACAAGTCAGACCCCTAGCTGCTAGCCACACAAGCCTCAGCCCTTGAACTGGACAGTAGATGCACACAGATCACCAGCTTGGCAGACAAATCTGCAGCCAGCAAGACAGCCCACTAGCCTCACAGTTAGATGTACTGACCTCAGACTGATAGATTGGTGAACCTCCAAGTAGACTCAGCTGGAAAAACCTCAGACAGACCGACTGCCAACTTGAAAAGATCCTCAGGCAAACCCATAGCACAGACATGCAGACCTCCAGCCAGAAAGACAGCAGACACTCACTGAGCCGCACAAAGCTCTAGCTGGACAGACAGATGGGTTATTCAGCCAGATATATAAAACTGTCAAACCAGAAAGAACACAAGGTAGACAAAAAGATGAGTAAATTTACACTTGATGCTCCAAAACCCTGATCCTGCTCTGTGAGCCTCCCTCCTGATGTGATCTTCTGGCAGTGTCTGTCCAACAACATTAGGTTTATCTAGGTGGATGGCCAGCTATTCCTCCCCAGCACAGTATGCCCCCCAAACTGTTGGAAAGCTACCCTGTGTCTGTGATGAGCATTACCACCACCTTCCACCTGACTAACCAGGCCACATCCCTCATACAGTAACTATGAGAATTCAGTGAAAGATAATATAAACAGCCTAGCCTCTGCTCAAGAAATGTTCAACCATAATTAAGTCCAGACCCCTGCATTCACTACAGGCACTGAGACAAGTCATTTGCCCTTTGAGTGTTGGTGGAAGGAGCGTGAAATTTGCCTTCCTTGACCACAACAGTGCTCGTTGACAGTGACTCAGCTTTTCAAGTGTGTATAGTCTATGCACAAGAAGCAGTTCAACCAGCAGAAACTATGAACTGCAGAGAAACTAGGGAGTCTCTAGCTTAACGGGCAACAGGTGAAAATTGGAGCTAATCTTGATTTAAACAGACAGAAAGGAGGCCCTGGAGCTGCTAATAGCAAAGAAGGCTGAAGGTGTTGTTTAGAGTGTAAACCAACCTCAAAGCCAGAAACATTGTCATTGTGCTCTGGAGACCAGAAGGGGAAAAAAGTAGTGTCTTGGGAGAGGGGGCCGATGGCAGAAGGAAGAGGTGTCTTTCCATCATTTGATTGTTTCTTTAAACTAAGCTGGGCTATATCATAATGAAGAATAGCTTGGAGTCAATCACTTACTAGTGTGATCTTGAGCAAGCTTCTTAATTTCTCAGTGCTTCAGCTTTCCAGTCTATAAAATGGGGACAATAAAATTATATTTATCATATTGCTGCTACATACATAACTGTGTGTCTCATTCTGCCTCACTGTGTGCACTGTTCATTGAACCCGTGGTAGGCAAGGCACGGACTAAGAGGCTGGAAGAAAACTCAAGGATTCTAGGAACTGCAAATATGTTTATTCTCCCCGACTGGCACAGCAACTGTAGCAGCAGACATGCTGTATTCTCTCCTCTCGTGGTTGACCCAGAGGACACAACCATAATGCATCTTCACCACCATAAGGCAGCCAGAAGGCCTTTTTCAGGTGGAGCTTATATATGCTTACAGAACAAAGTAGCCCATGGCCAAGAGGATACCTCACATGTACCTCACGGTGACAGTGATGGGTACACACAGTGCTATTAGTGACCTCAGCTGTTATATAATCATTATTTACAAAATAATGGGGTGAGAGAGCCTGACCATGCCATCTTGGCTACTTTGCTCCTACACTGTGAATCTGGATTTTTACAATAGACACAAGAATATTTCTTAACTTTTTTTTGATTATCCCTAGAATAAAAAATAATTCCATATAGTTGAGATGATAATATCAAAAGCTCTACTTGAGTCATGGGAATTCCCTGGTGGTCCAGTGGTTAGAATTCCACTGCAGGGGGCACTGGTTTGATTGATGGTCAGGGAACTATGATCCTCAAAAACAAAAACAAAACCAAAAACGTGTATCTAAGATAAAAATAAATGAAAGTAAATTTAATTATATATTCTCATGCTTAAAATTTGGTGGTTCTAGTCTTCAATAACTGTTGCATTTTAAATCAGTGGGCAGAAAAATCATTTATTCAATATAGGTGATTGATATAATTAAGTAGCTGTAGGGATAGAGCCGGAGAAAGCAATGGCAACCCACTCCAGTACTCTCGCCTGGAAAATCCCATGGCCGGAGAAGCCTGGTAGGCTGCAGTCCATGGGGTCGCTAAGAGTCGGACACGACTGAGTGACTTCACTTTCACTTTTCATTTCATGCATTGGAGAAGGAAATGGCAACTCACTCCAGTGTTCTTGCCTGGAGAATTCCAGGGACGGCGAAGCCTAGTGGGCTGCCATCTATGGGGTCACACAGAGTGGGACACGACTGAAGCGACTCAGCAGCAGCAGCAGCAGGGATAGAGCAAATTAGCCAAGATGGCAGGGTCAGGCTCTCTCACACCACACCCTCTCTTTCCTGTTAATAATGGTTATGTAACAGCTGAGACCACTTAGAGCACTGTGCGTATGCATGAGAAGGTACTTGGCCACGGGCTACTTTTGTTCAGTAAGCATATTTAAGTTCTACCTGGAAAGCCCTGGAGGTTGTGTGCTGTGTTGTATCTGCTGCTACTGAAACGGGAATCTGAGTTCTTGTTCATGAAGCTTAAGTATGAACTCGAGGAACACATAAACACTCATGGTAGCAAGCGAATACGATTTATTAGAGGAGGAAAGTATAAAGCTCTCAGCGAAGACACTGAGGGGGGTAAAGAGTCCCCCAAGATGTGGGGATTACAGCGGTTTTGTATCTTTACCAGTATTAATCTCTTCCCTTTTCGATTGGCTCCTGTTCTTAAATCCTGTTATTTCTAACCAATCAGTTTAAAGGTCAAGATGCTTAAGTTAACATCTTTATGGCTTCTCTCCTCACCCTTTTTCATGCCTCCTGGCCATTTTACAATGGGTCAAATGTATAGGTTTAAGATTAATGATCACCAGTTGTTTTTCCCTCAAGCATATGGAACAGAAACTAATTACTGCCTTTCCCTGGATCTGAGTTATCAGATCAAAGACACATTCCAGGAATTCTAGACAAAGGATATAATTTTATGCTAATGCAGCGAGATATTTACTGAAAACAAGACGGAG